ACACCATAAGACGTCAATGGATGTTCATAATACACCAAAAATTATTTATCATAATTTCTCATCTCTAGAGAACAATGAAAATTCCAATTTAAACTCATTTCTAACCTTTAAGTCATATATTCCTAAAGAATTTCTAAATAACAACTCTAATTTTATTACCAATTCTCCAATAACCTGTAATTCAATACTTGATTCAAGTTCCTCATGCAACTTTATTTCTACCATATTTGTAAATATAATTTAATTAAAAGAAAATTAAAAAGCAAATTGATTATAAAAGGTATTAGTGGGTTTACTACTGATATCAATGATTATGTTTATTTAAAATTTCAATTAAAGATTTTTATCAAAAACAAATTTTATTTTATATACTTTAAAGAAAAATTCTTAATTTCAGAACATATTCCTATGGATTTATTATTTGGAAATAAATTCATGAAAAAATTTAAGATTCATTTTAATTATAAAAATAATCATTTATATTGTAATAATTTTAAACACTTCAATAATAAGAATTTAAAAAATTTTTCAAAAAATTTAAAAATTTCTCATTCTAAAAAAGATTTTAATTATTCATTTTCCGATAATACTAATAATAATTCTACTAATTTCTCTCATAAATCTAATCTTCAAGTTAAAGATAATAATTCTACGTCTTTTAATAAGAATGATATCAATTATTTTATCCATTCATTTTTATCTGAAAATGTCGAAAATTTTGAAGAAATGAGTAAAATGACCTAACCCTTATCATAGATGAAATCCCTAATGAATATAAAGATCTTGCTGTTGTTTTCAGTAAATCAAAAGCTGATAAGTTACCTCTACACCGTTTAACTTATTGTAAAATAGTCCTAGAAAATGACGCCACTTTACATTATGGACCTATCTATCCTTTGTCAAGACAAGAGAAAGAAGCCTTACAAGAATATATTAATGAAACTCTTAAAAAAGGTTTTATTAGGCCCTCTGAATCTCCTGCAGGTTATCCTGTTGTTTTTCAGAAGAAAAAAGATGTCTCACTAAGGGTTTGTATTGATTACAAAAAGTTAAACGCTGTAACAGTAAGGAATTCATACCCTTTACCTTTAATTTCAGATATCATTGAAAGGGTTAGGGGTTCAAAAATTTTTACTAAATTGGACTTGAGATCAGCTTATAATTTGATAAGAATAAAAGAAGGTGATGAATATAAGACTGCTTTTAGAACAAAGTTTGGTCATTACGAATATTTAGTAATGCCATATGGATTAAAAAATGCTCCAGCAACATTCTAATCATTCATAAATTCAATATTACGTGAATATTTGGATAAATTTGTTATTTTATACATGGATGATATTTTAATTTTCTCAGAAAATCTCAACGATCATATTAACCATGTAAGATCTGTTTTAGATAAATTAATACAAAACAAATTATATGCAAAATTTGAAAAATGTGAATTTCATAAAAATGAAGTTGAATTCTTAGGTTTCACTATTTCAGGTAATGGTATCTCTACTGATCCAAAGAAGCTATTAAAGAATGGCCTAGACCAAAATGCGTTAAAGATGTTCAACGCTTTCTTGGTCTTTGTAATTATTATAGAAGGTTTGTTAATAATTTTGCCAAAATCGCCAAACCTTTACATAATTTAACTAGGAAAAATGTTAAATTTCATTGGGATAAGATATGTGATGATGCTTTCGTAAATTTACAAAATAAATTAATTACCTCTCTCGTTTTAGTTTTTCCTGACACTAATAGGCCGTTTATAGTAGAATGTGATGCCAGTAATTTTGCAATAGGTTCCGTTTTATCTCAATATGATGATGATAAAAAACTACATCCTGTTGCTTATTTTTCCAGAAGTTTAAATGATACAGAAAGGAACTATTCTATTACAGATAAAGAACTTCTTTCTATTAAATCTGCTTTCTCAGCTTGGCGACATCTACTTTTAGGTGCTAAATTTAAAGTAAAAGTTTATACAGACCACCACAATTTACTTTATACTTTAGGTGGAAAAATTCAAAATCAACGTCAACATCGTTGGCATCTCTTCTTTCAAGAATATGATTTTGAATTAATTTATCGCCAAGGAAGAAAAAATGGTAAGCCAGATAGTCTCTCTAGAAGACCTGATTATAATTCTGGTAATGAACAAATAAAACCTGAGCATATTTTAGATATAAAAAATGTTAAAAATATTCCATGTTTTGTGGGAATTCTTAGTGACTTTATTGATAAAGTTATTGAATATACTAAAACAGATGATACTGCAAACGATATTAGATTATATTTTGCACCAAATAATGCTAATCCAGGTTATTTTTATAGACCTTTTAGAAAAATGAATAAATTCAAGATTCAAAATAATATGATTCTTTATAATAATTTAATATATATTCCTGAAGCTTTAAGATTAGAAGTACTTATGCGATACCATGAAAATCCTGCTGCTGGTCATTTGGGTATTAAAAGAACTGAAGAATTAATTACTAGAAACTATTGGTGGCAAAAAATTCGTAAAGATGTAACTGAATTTGTTAATTCTTGTGAAACTTGTACTAGAAACAAATTCAATAAACACGAAAAATATGGTCCTTTACAACCTTTAGAAACTCCTGATAGACCATGGCGTTCTGTTGAAATTGACTTTTTATGTGGTTTACCTGATTCTAAAGGATATACTGTTCTAATGGTTACTGTAGATAGATTTTCAAAAATGATTCATTTAGTTCCTTTTAAGAAAATACCTGATGCTAAACAAACAGCTACAGCTTTTATTAAAAATATATTCAAACTTCATGGATTACCTTCTGATATTTATACTGATCGCGGTTCTCAATTTACTAGTGATCTTTGGAATAGTTTAATGGAAGAACTTAAAGTTAAAACTAAAATTGCTACCACTGATCATCATGAAACGGTCGGTCAAGTTGAAAGATGTAATTCTTTTATTGAGCAATATCTCCGCTGTTATTCAAAGTCCTATTATCATGATGACTGGGTTGAATGGATTCACTTAGCCGAATTTGTTTATAACAATTCTATTAATGAGTCTACCAAACAAAGTCCTTTCTTTATTAACTATGGATTCCACCCTCCTGTTGATGATGTCTTTCTTTATGACAAATCCTATACTAATAATAATTTTATTAGAAATGTTTGTGATAATTTTAATTATGTTAAAGAAGTTTTATTTAGAGCTAAGGATTTATATAAAAAACATGCCGATAAGAAAAGGATATCACCTCCTATATTTAAAGTTGGCGATAAAGTTTGGATTCAAGCACCTCCATCCTTTTCTACGGAAGAAACTCCAAAACTTTCACCTTGTAAATACGGACCTTATAAAGTTTTAGAAGTTTTGGAAAATAACAATTATAAAATAGATATACATAACTCCCCTTTCCCAAAACATCATCCAATCTTCCATATTTCGGAACTTGAACCTTTTATTCCTACTCCTTCAAGATTCTTATCAAGATCAAAGGATCCTGAATCACATCATTGAGATTGCGGGATTTCGAACTAATTATAAACTTAAACGGTATGAATAAAAAATTAGATACAAATACCGTTCTCAATATAATTGGGTTCCTTCTAGTGAAGTTGAAGATAACCCAAGAAACCAAAATATCTTCTTATTATATTTAAAGAACAATAGGAAGCCTATTGATATCGCTTATAATTAAAAAAAAAAAAAAAAAAAAAAAAAAAAAAAGAGAGAAAGAGAGAGAGAATGAAAAAAAAAAAATGAGAAAACTATTATAATACAAAATTACTTCAATTTAACCCATCACAGATTTAAAAATTGAAATTTCAAAAATTTTTATATTCACTATTTTTTAATTATAAAATTTATTTTTCAGCTTATTATTATTAATATTTTTAATATTAAATTTTAAAAAATTTCAAAAAACATAAAAAACCCTTTAAAATCAAAATTTAAAATTTCAAAAAATTCAAAATTTCAATTATGACAGTTGTACAACATAAAAAATTTCAAAAACACATTTTTTATACAATACATATATGTATTTCATAACAAAATTTCATTTTTATCAATTTTTGACAACTTTTGAAATTTCGCGAAATGGCCATTTAAAATTCATTCCTCCATCCTCATGTGACCATTTCGAAATTTCAAAAATTTTGAAAATATTAAAATTTTAATATTTTAAATTCAATATAAGATATTCCACTATCAAAAAATTGTTTAGTATCCAATTTTAGTGGAAGGGCGTTGTCAAAATCACAATTCATGAAATTTGACATTTCATGAAATTTGACATTTCATGAAATTTGACATTTCATGAAATTTGACATTTCATGAAATTTCATAATTTTGAATTATTAGTTAAATTAATTAAAATATTAATTTAATAATATTTTACTAATAATAGTTTATTTAATATAAATATTAATTGGAAAGCTATTTATTATCCGGAGATAAATAGAGTGTAACAATTAATTAATATTAAACAAACCAATTAGTAAAATAAGATTCATTTAAATAATTATTAATATTATTTTTAACAACTTATTAATATCGATATTTAAAGAAAATTATATTATTATTATTATTATTATATTTTATTAATATTTATATTTATATTATTATACATGTATAACTTAAATTATATTATTATTATACTTTATTAATATCAACATTATATTAAAAATGAAAGTATAAATAAGTTGAACAAAGAACAACTTTAAGAAGTTCTTTGTGAGATTATTATACTCATTTTTATATAGTAAATTCAATATTTAAAATTAATAATTATCATTTATTTATATTATAAAAATTAAATAAAATATTTCTTAAAAAACTATATTTATTACTCTTTTATTTATAAAAATTTATTATTTACTATATAATTAAGCCTATCCTAACCTAGTAGACTTAATTATAGTTCTAAATCCACTCTAACTCTTGACAAAAAAACTATTGGTTTTAAAAAATCGTGATATAAGTAGTACAATGATCAACAAACTTTTGTTTTCTTGATCCTGTGGCGAAATGGATAACGCGTTGCCCTCCGGAGGCGAAGATTGTGGGTTCGAGTCCCATCAGGGTCGGAAATCAATTTTTAGATTTTTTCAATTTAAAAATTTTTCAAACATAAATAAAATCAGTTAATAAAAAAATTATATATATATAAATAAAATAACAAAACTAAAAGTTAAAACATTAAAATACTGAATAATTGTATTGCTTTTTTTTTTTTTTTTTTTTTTTTTTTGATATTAATAAATTATTAATATTTTTAAGATAATTTTACTTTCTTTTAACATTCCCATTCAACTACCATGAAAAAACCTTTTATTTAAGAATTTTATACATATCATTTCTAATAACTTATAATAAAAAGCATATTCTTTCAGAAGTAGTATATTCAATTTTTTTTTTTTTTTTTTTTTACATATAAAGAATTATATATATATTATCAATAACAATTATAATAAAAATAAATTATATATAAAAAAAACATTTATTATACTGTTATTATTATTTTTTTTTTTATTTATTAATTGTAATAAAAGATAATACAAAAAAAAAAAAAAAAAAAAATTCAATAAAGATATAACTAAAGTAATACAACAATGTGAAAATGAATTAGTGAAATATGATAGTTGTATTTATGGTTCCAATTCTTTTAGTAAAGAAAATATTGACAATATTTGCTATGAATATTATGAAAAAAGGAAGAAAAAAAAAAAAAAAAGTCAGGCATTCATAAAAAATTCGTTAGTAGCTTTATCAACTTGTGAATTACTTTCAAAGAAATTAAAAAACAAATATGTACAATTGCTTTCCATTAATAAGTTATCTATGATCTTTTTATGTAATAAAAATGAAAATAATAAATTATGTCCTATGGTAGAATATGAATTATCCAATAATTAAAATGATAATGATTTAATTAAGGCAACTGAAAAGACATGCCAGTAAGATAAATGCATGAGAGTTGCCCTTGATTTCTATAGTTTATTAAATGATCTAATTAACGTTGAAGAAGCTATTATTAATGAAGATTCCTTGAAAAATAATAATATTATAAGGAATATTTATAAAATATTAAAATTGGATAACTGTAACGTGTTAAATATGAATTCAATAATAAAAATATTAAAAAAGATCTATGATAATAAAATATTAAATTTTTCTTTATAACAATTTATAAAAAAAAAAATAAATAAAATTAATACTATTATAAATTTAAATAATTTTTTTTTATATATATTTTATAAATTTATTTAATTTTAAATTTTATATTATATTAGGTTTAATAGTTTTCTAGTTTTTTTCATTTATTTTTTTTCTTTTTTCTTTTATCTTTACTTTTCCATTATTTTTTGGTAGATACACTTTCTCTTTCTTTATTTTAATTTCTTTTTTCAATATTTCTTTCTTTCTATTATTTATTATTAAGTATTCATCGACAATTGAATTGAATAGTAACTTTTAATTACTTGTTAAAAAATTTTATCGTTAATAATTTAATAATAAAAATAATAATAATAAAAAAAAATTAATAAGACGATCAAAGAGTAAAAATAAAATAAAGCATAAATAAAAGTAAAAAAAAAAAAAGATAAAAACTTTATAAATATTTTATATTTTTTCTATTGATTAAAATAAATTATAATTTTACTTTATCTTAAGTATTTTCTCTTCTATCTAAAGAAAATTATATATAATTAATAATAGGATATATGGGATATAGGGTTTTTTTTTCTTTGCTTTTTTTTTTTTTTTTTTTTTTTTTTTTTTTTTTTTTTTTAATTAATATAATTGTTATTTTATTATTATTGATTTTTTTTTTTTTTTTCTTTTACATATATTTTAAAAATATATTTATTAATAATTTATTTTTTATAGAGGGTGATTGTTTTTATTTGGTTTGGTTTTTATTTTTCATTCAGGATAAGAAAATGAAAATTGGAGCACGAATATTTTTTATACTTGTTTGTTAATTTTTTATAATTTTTTATTTTTTTTTTTTTTTTTTTTTTTTTTGATATTTTGAATTTAAATTTTATTTATTTCTTTAATTATAGTTTTTTTTTTTCTTTTTTTTTTAAAAAAAAAGAGAGAATAGATAGAGAAAAGGATTTTGTAATTCTAAATTTAAACATTGTTACGGTTCTTTAATAAGTTAACCTTTTCTTCTTCTTCTTCATCAAAGTAATCGTATTTAGATAACATGTAAATTAACTTCTTTTGACCCATCCACCAGGCCTTCTTACCAACACGATGCTTCATATCAGTTTCCTTAGCTAAGTTTTCAACTGGAGTGAAAACAGTTTCAGCACCACGAATACCAATAACACAAGCTGATTCTGGATCGGCAGTGTAAACGTTAAGTAATTTGTCATCATCAAATTGTGGCTTGGTAAATTGTGGAGTACCTGGAATACTGCTATTCTTTTGCTTATTAACAGAAGCAAATGCTCTTTGTTCAATCCAATCAACACATTTGACAGCTTGTCTAACAGCACGAATTCTATCTAATGGAGTTGGAATACCACCTTGTTGAAGGTGACCAAGAACAGCAGTACGAGAATCGAAAAGACCCTTACCTTCTTCTTTAAGAATAGCAGAAATGACATCAGTAGTGTAGGTCTTACTGGCACATTCATTACGAAGAATTAATCTACCTTCACTTGGAATACCCTTAGCATCTTCTTCACGATAACGTCTTATCATGTGACGAATATCTCTTTGAAGCATATCTAAGGTAATACCTTCTTCTGGAATGTAACAACAAGTAGCACCAGCAGCTAAACCACCAACAACAGCTAAGTAACCACAATGACCACCTTGAACTTCAACAACAAAGACACGCTTACGGGAAGCACTAGCAGAAAGCTTAATACGATCACAAGCTTCAACAATAGCATTAATAGCAGTATCAGAACCTAAAGAGTATTCAGTACCTGGAACATTGTTAGAAACAGTAGCTGGAATTTGAACCATTGGAATACAGAAAGATGGGTAAATATTTCTACATTGGGCTAAAGTAAGAATACTGCTGTAGGCTTCGAAACCACCAATGATAATTAAACCTTGTAACTTGAGTTTTTGGAAGTTGTAAGCAACAATACCGGCATCAATGAAATCTTCAGAGTTGAAGTACTTTAATGGAACACTATTGTTATTGATTGGGAGTGGTTGAATACGGTTAGTACCTAATTCGGAACCACCACGAGTGGTCCAACCACTAACTTCTTGCCATGAAAGTGTTTCAACTTGACCCTTAGCAAGACCAGTAAAACCATTGTAAATACCAATTGGAATGTGACCTCTGTTAAGACATAATCTAACAGCAGTTCTAGTAGCAGCATTCATACCACCAGCTGGAGCACCAACATGCATAATACCGATTCTTAATTTTCCTGCACGTTCATATTTACCCTTGTATAAATCGTATAAAGTACTTTCAACGTAAGCATTGTAAGCGTCCTTGAAATCAGGATCACGTAATTCCATAGCCTTGTTGAAATCTTTCTTTGAAACAGCTTCACTAACAGAATGAGTTAAAGAAACAGCTTCCATTAATGGAATAGTAGTAATCTTATTTTGTTGAATACCAATCATTGGAGATGGGGTTTCTGGAGTGGACTTTAAGACAGCCTTAATAGCTTCGTCACTTTGGATAGTAGCAAGATATCTATCGTAGGCACTTGGAGCACCACCTCTTTGAACGTGACCTAAAGTTGTAACACGAGTATCTAAACCTAAGCGCTTTTCGATAACTTCCTTGACATAATTAGCCTTAATTGGGTTTAATTGTCTGTCAATAGCACCTTCACAAACAACAATAATGTTCTTTCTGTTACCCTTATCACGTTGAGTTTGAAGAATTTCACACATTTCATCTTCCCATTCACCTTCAGTAGTATTAATTGGTGGTGGTCTTTCTGGGAGGAAAGTCCAATCAGCGCCAACAGCAATAGCAGCCATTAAACCTAACCAACCACAGTGTCTACCCATAACTTCGACTACGAAACATCTTTGGTGTGAAATAGCAGTTGAAACTAAGGAGTCAAGAGCTTCACAAATTCTGTGTAATGAACTGTTGGCACCAATAGTTAAATCAGTAGCAGCCATATCATTATCAATAGAACCAACCATACCAACAATAGTAAGGTTTTTGTATTTTTCACATTCTTCTTCGGTAATTTTATTATCTTTAAGTAATGTATCAACAAGACTCTTCCATTCAGCTCTTAAGAGATCAGCACCGGTTAAACTACCATCACCACCAACAACAACTAAAGCATCAATACCATTCTTAATAAGATTTAAAGCAGCCTTAGATCTACCTTCCTTAGTCTTGAAAGTAAGACATCTAGCTGTACCAATAACAGTACCACCCTAATTAAAGCATTATGTTAAAAATAGCATTTTTGATTAATTTTTATAATATAATTACATCCTTATGCATAATAAAATAAAAAAAAAATATACATATATTTATCAATACAAAATGATCTACATACTAAAGACATTAAACCTCTAACATCATCCCATCCAGCCTTCTTAATTTTATCACCACCATCAACAAGACCTTGGTAACCTTCAAAAATTAAGTATGGAACACAACCACGTGCTAAAGCACATCTAACAGTAGCTCTAACAGCACAATTCATACCAGATGAATCACCACCACTAGTCATAATACCAATCTTTTTCTTTTGACCAGAGGTTCTTTCAATATTAACAGCTTCGGAACTAATATTAAGAGACTTAAATCTTTCGGAAGATAAACCTGTTTCATCAATAGCATCAGTTAATGGAGTTTCCTTATTATCGAAAACAATAAGATTCAAGAGTGGATCATAAACGAAGATTTGAGTATAAATCTTATCTGAATCAACAATTGGGAAAGAATGTTTACAGAATGGTTGACCTAACTTTTTGAAGGTTTGTTCAATATCCTATTTAAATATATCATCAAGTAATTGTAAAATTATAAATACATAGAAATAGTAGTTACTTAATACATAATTCATATATATCTAATAATAATACAATATTATTAAAATATTAAAATTACATCTAAATTATTTGA